TTTATGGCCATAATATTTTGAACCCCCTCCCTCATCAAATAAAAGGGCAGGGAGACGCGATATTTTATGGCCATAATATTTTGAACCCCCTCCCTCTTAAATAAGAAGGGCAGGGGGACTCAATATTTTATGGCCATAATATTTTAAACCCCCTCCCTGTAAAATTAAATGGGCAGGGGACTCAATATTTTATGGCCATAATATTTTGATCCCCTCCCACTTAAATTTAAAGGGCAGGGGGCTCAATATTTTATGGCCATAATATTTTGAACCCCACTCCCTGTAAAATTAAAAAGGACAGGGGGTTGAATATTTTATGGCCATAATGTTTTGAACCCTCTTTCTTTAAAATTAAATGGGCAGGGGAACTCAATATTTTTTGGCCATAATATTTTGAACCTCCTCCCTCTTAAATTTAAAGGGCAGGGGGGTTTAATATTTTATGGCCATAATATTTTGAACCCCCTCCCTCATCAATTAAAAGGACAGGGGGACTCAATATTTTATGGCCATAATATTTTGAACCCCGGGTTCAATATTTTACAGGGGGGTTCAATATTTCCAGCGATATTTTGAACCCGGGTTCAAAATATCGCGGGGTTCAATATATTATATGACACTGTGCAGTGTACTGAAGAGTGAAGCTGAATTTGTCTCCCAATCCATCTTTTACTTTTCCAATATCGCTGTAAAGTTAGACTTCTCATAATATTGTGATACAAAACAAAAGCTTTCTCAAGTGTGCTGTGATGTTTTAGAGTTTGATCGTGCAATTTTCCAAATAACTTTTTCAGTTTAAAGTGCAAAAACATTGTTTAATCAAAGCTATTCTTTCCATTGTAGGTGGTGTTCACAAAAATATTTGGATATTTACTCTGCCAGACGAGTAGTCAACTCCCCGCTCTGATGTTTGTCGAACCAACCTATTTCCTGTCTGACTATGGACCGGAAGTAGACTTTCCGGATAGTGTAGACCTGCCTCTCGCAAGTCGTCGTCCAACACATAATCTAGAAAATACCGCTTAATGAAAGATATGTTTGTTAGAATAAAACATTTAGGCTGTTACTTAACGGTCCAGGGGTCATGATTTTTACCTGTAAGTACCCTGAGACTAGAACAATGCCGGCAATGTACAAATAGTAGAAGGCGTATGTGGTCATTTTGTCATTAAACTCATCCACGGTTGAGTTGTTTCCGGTCACATTTCCGGTGACGTTGAAACTGATGCTTCCATTCACGCAGATCAACTGAGCGCCACCCGGGCCTTGAAAATGAAGATTTGTTAGAAACCATTTTAAAAACTAATGTGTTACTTAAACGTTAAATATTAATTGAAACATTTTAGACCGATACATTGAGATGATACCATTCTATAGTCATAATGAAGGTCGATACTTATGATAATAAATAATAATATTAATAAAATTTTATGTAGCACCTTATCTTATGTGAACTCTAAAGCTCTTAACATAGATATAACAATCTATGTAGTAAAAGGAAAGCTAAAACAATCTAACATTCTTATAAAGACATTCCTGAAAGTTGCTTTTAGTTTTTTTATTTCATTTTAGTTCTATAGCCTTACATGATTATGGGATTCTAGTTCTATTGTTTTAGTTAATCAATAAAGATCTGAGGCTGTTACAGACCTGTCACGAACGTGTCGGTCAGTTCTCCAAAGATGACGGACAGAGCTGGCCATCCTCCGCCTACAGCTATAGCGAAAACACTGCCCACTAGAATCAGAAACCTGTCAAAAGCCGTTGCATACCGGAACTACAATCAAAAGTATCCACCATCAATTTTACATACAAATTTTTATGCTGACCTACCGGTCAGCAGGGGATACTCACCCTTCCATGACATCTGCCAAGGTAACTCTGATGTTTTCGAGGATCGTGTTTGCTCTGCTCCATTTTTGTAGTGTTTTATGGACTTTTGATCTTGAATACTGTTCGTTATCTCTATATGTTCATTTTTATACTGAATGAGACTACGGAATGTTCCTTCTACCTTGTTAAAGCATAGGATTCCTGGCGGGTGTGATCGGTCAACAAGGAATGCTTACTCCTCCAAGGCACCTGATCCCACCTCTGGTATTTCCAGGAGTCCTTGTTTATGCCCTTTTTACAGATAAGAATTGGTTAAAGATTTTTTTAGATCGATCACTGCTCGTTATCTTTCCCATTTTCATATAACAACCCTTACCAAAATGAAATGTTTGCTGCAAGTTTGCGGCAAGCTTGCAGCAAGTTTGCTGCAAACAAATCTATGTACCAGAACAGTATGCCAGACGTGTGCAGTAAATGCAGCTAGCAGCACACAGTATGCCACTTGCGGTTCATTGTGTGCTGCTAGTGGCACATATGTACTTCTAGCGGCACATTAAATGATCTGATGCACATATGTGCCAGAAGTATGCCACAATTTTCCCTTAAATGCCTTTTACATATATAGTGTGCCAGAAGTGTACCAGAAATGTTTCTTTTAACTATCAAATCACTGTGTGCCAAAAGTGTGCCATAAAGACCTTTAGGAACGACTTGTCTATTGCGTTACAGACCTATCTAAGAACGGCTTATCAGTTCACATCCGGTTTGAAAGTTTGCGCCAATTTTAAACCACCTGGGTCATGACTCATGACAAGAACAAAGAGAAAGGAGAAAACAGCAACATAGACCGTGGATAAAGAGGGAATGTGAGTATTTTAAAAAAATTGTATAACTCTGATGTCTTTTTAACATAGAAATAAGACTTGACTGTATTTGCTGAGCCAGTTAGAATTTTTACAGTCCTTTTTCATAACAAATTGGGTCGATATATAGTATATGTTTTTGTTTTTTGTTCTATCCAGATGGACTGATGATGAATCAGTAAAACCTCCTTAAAGAATAGATCAAAAGGGCATTTATCTGCAGGAAGGATTCTGCTAACTAAAATATGGACTAAAAGTAAGTAATCACAATAAGGAATTACGTCCATATTCAAATGTTTATGTCATATAAACAAATGATTAAATACACTTTACATTATATAATTTGTCAAAGAAGCATGTAGTTTTATTTAACAAAGTGTTGTTTTTGAATTCTTGTTTGTCATTCTATCCTGAATTCCCATTTAATATGATTTTAATGCATACAAAACAAGATACAAATGTGGGATCTCTAGGTCAAAATTAGGTTTAATTCATTGCTTAATTAAATATTGGTTTCAATGACTGCAATGCGAGTAATTTCTCTCTATCTTTTTAACAGGTACTTGCATAATGTTGGAAAGGAAGAGACCCCCCCCCCCCTCCCCAATCATGAAAAGTTAGTTGAAATGTCAGAGTGAATTTGAAGTACCAAGAAAGTAGTTAATAAATATTCCTATCAAATGTGTCGCACGCATGGTTAGAGCGTCTGCCCTCGAGTCACGAAGTAAGGAGTTGAATTCCACTGTGGATCCTTCGGATGAGACTGTATAAACTGAGGTCCCATGTTTCAGTACGTGATGATAAAAAAAGATCCTCCCTGCTCAATGGCCCTGAGTGCCAATTAATGTAGTGTAGGACAAAATTTGCAGCTCTCCCACGGCAGATGTTGGCATCTCCATATAAGTGAAAAATTCTCATGAGGGACTTACACTTTAAACAATATACAAACAATCAATTAATGAGAAATGCAACGGATGAGGACACTCTTTCAACATGACATGGATTCTTCAATGGGATTATGTTGTTGTTTTTTTTTAAAGTGATAGAATCAAGACACTGAACAAATTGTCGCCTTTACTGTGTAAATAATATTGTGAGATTTAATTTGTCAAAATACCTTATATGTTTTTATTCATATTGTGCAGCACTATTACTTTGATATGTGCAGTTGAAATTCATTGTAAGAGGTGAATCTTTTCTTTGATGTGAAATGTTTTGTGATTTTTGGTTACTACAAATCCTTTATTCATTTTGCATAATGACCAATATAAATTTGTGCCATTATATTACTCAAAGGTTGTTTTTTTTTTTTAATCTGTTTCTTTCTCTATCTGATGTATACAGTGTATTAACTGTTCAATCAACAGATTTTGTTTTTTTTAAACATTAATATTATAGTTAGTGTTATATATACATGTACTTGGTAACTTTTTACCTTGAAATTTTCATAAATAATTTTTAAAATGGCTTGAATGTTCTTATTTTTTTTATAGTACATGTATTACATGTTGCTGTCATGTTTATTCACGTTCTTTTAAAATTAATTTGTAAGGTAAGGTATATTAACTTATGGAATTGTATATGCCAGAAATGTGCCACAAGTGTGTGCCACAAATTTGCAGTTAACTATATGCCAGAAATGTGCCGCAAGTGTGTACCACAAACTTGCAGTAAACTATATGCCAGAAATATGCCACAAGTGTGTGCCGCAAATGTGCCAGAACTTTGCCGCAAATATGCCGCAAACTGTGTGCCAGAAAAAAATTTGCATACGAAAAATCTATTTGCGGCAAGTTTGCCGCAAATATTTGCCGCAAGGTTGCGGCAACTTTGCAGTAAACTTGCTGCAACTATGTGCCAGAAGGCTTTTATTTTGGTAAGGGAAACCTATCAGTTTTAGGTCTCTTCTCCTCTCGTATTCAGAGTTTTCTTATACATTTACAAGTACTAGTATGAGGATCTTGAAGAACATTTAATGTAAATTGAGTGGTACTGAACTACATAACAAGCAAATAAATGTAACAATAGGTAGACTTACCAGCTGTCCAAACGATGCAGACTTCGGGGAATTCCTGAAAAACCAAACAACAGTTATAATGTGGGTCTACGTTCTAAATATAAGTACTACACATAGTACACACTATCTGTTACCTACGCTGAGAAACTCTTCAGGTCCATAATGGCGCTAAATGCGGGTGCCTTTTTGGGACAGGTGTCCGCATTATTTATGTTTACCCCTGATAAGAAGTAGAGCCGTACTCGAGAAGAAAATGTCACTGTATTTGATAAGGAAATATTAGCTGGATGTGCTTCTATACAGTATCTCTGTGAAGTCGGTCAAATACTGAAACGTACATGGATAAATCAATATATAAAGGATAAGATTAGGAAACATTTTGAAGCTATTCCTTTTACGATTACTCACACAGCAGTCACCCACTGACTCAGTTTTTATCACGTTTACTCTGGAGTCGTGACGTAAGGAGTTGATCCTGAATTTAATACATTTTTGAATCCTAAAATGTTATGAAGCGGACGGAAAAAGACCAGCTGAAGTTTCAATGTAAGAAAATACAAATCTTGCATTTACTAATGTAACGTTGAAATGGCGCTGTGACATTTGGAAGATATAATTTTTTTTATCAATGTTTATAAAAATAGATTTTACAAATATGCACTTTGTCTTTTTGATGAAATGCTGGTATTTTATAAAAGTTAAGGGTTAGGGTTAAATTTTTATAAGAATTATCTTTTTGTCCTTAATTGGAGCTGAAAAATCCGTCGTCAATTCAATGTATAAATAATAGACTAACAATAAGTATGAAAAACGTCAGTTAGCATTTGACTAAATGATAAATTGTATTTGCTGACAAGGTCATTGTATTGACCATTGAACTAACGAAATGTTGACTTTAAACAAGACTGCTGATACTTGTTCCATCAACTTGCTTGTCAAAAATTAACCTCGTTTTAGGAATTGTTCATACGTAGAGCATGCTCAACTGAGATATATACACTCCGTATGCAGGTGATGAAGGTATATTGCTGCATAATTAAGGGAAGTTGACGATAGAAAAGTTAAAGTCATCAAATATAAGAACATAAATTTAAAACAAATACGGAATCTTAAATGCACATTTATTTAATTAGCTATAGAAGTTTACACATCTTACAGACAAATATGGTTAAAGGATTATCATGAAATATGGAGAAAACGAAGAAGTATTTAAGGTTAGAACTTAAAGAAGTCCATTGAAATAATACAGATCGAGAGCAGAGCAAACATGAACCGGAGGCGGGATCAGGAGCTATCGAGGAGTAAGGGTCCGCTGTTGACACATGACAGCAACTGTGTGCTCCGTGTCATGATGGCAAGCAAAAAAATCCAAAGACAATTCAGTGTGTGAATAATGGTCTTACAATAAGTATGAAAAAACCCTCAGTCAGCATTCGACTTAATGACTGATTGCATTTGCTGACAAGGTCATTGCATCGACCAAGAAACTTACAAAATGATGATTTTTGTTGGAAGATTTGATCTCCAAAATCTATATACAATCAGTAGCTCAAACATTCTTTTAATAGTTTATGAGCATTTTGTGTACCTTGAGACTGTTTAACAAAAAGAGAATTTATTGATAAAGCAGCTGTCTATAAACCCAAAAAAGACTGCGTTTAACCGTTTGGATAGGTTGTGTAAGCTGTTTTAAAGTCCTATATTTTTCAACTTATTTATTTTGGTGAAAATTTGTGACCTGAAATTATCCAAAAGTTCTTTTGGAGTTTTTTAAGTAACCACATTTGATTTACACCACTTTTTGAATATATTCCTGTCTTGAGGGGTTTTCGTCAATACTGTAAATTTTTTAGTGAAGAGTAAAAAAAAAAAAGGTTTTTTTAGAACGCTTACACTTGTGACCTGATCCCACCTCTGATGTTTTGGAGGTCCGTTTTTGTTCTGCTCCTGTTTTGTATTGTTTTATGGACTTTTGATTTTGAATACTGTTCGTTATCTCCTTATTTTTCATTACTAGAACCCGCTATGTTGCTTGGTCGTTAAGGTTTTTGCGAAGCTTAGGAATCAACTATAAGGATGATGATTCTAATTCATTTCGATTTTTGGACATATTAAAGATGTTTAAAATTAATTTGATTTTTGTAAAGAATTTCCTCCTTAGAAAGGGAACTAAGGGGTGTTAAGAAAGTTCGTACCATGATGAAATATTTTCAAAAATTTCAAAGTAGCGCTTTACTAAAGAGATGAATTTTCAAGTATTATAAAATTACAAGACTGTGCTTTAGATTTCTGGCAATTCATTTCTAGCAGGAAATTATAGGATTTTTCTTCCATATGAAAATATGTATAACATCTTTAAAGCACCCGAATGATAGAAATGCTGGTGTTTTTGCGTGAAAATAAAGGATTTTTTACTTTTGTTTCTGCATAGCTTATCTTGCATCAGTCAAGCTTTTGAGCGTAAATATTAGCAAGATGGATCACTTTTCAAGAGAATATAGTTTTGTCATTTTACAATTTTCACAGACTTGATAATTTGTGCATAGTATTTGAAACGATATTTTGACCCGTGTGCTTAATAAATGTCACAAATATGCGCCATCCCTAATTTTTCTGCACAGACATCATCTGTTTTAATGAATGCCCTTCCCTTATTGATTCATCATAAGACAAATGAAACTTGATCAGTAGCAAGAATGGACTCTGTAAACATGAAATATCACAAATTGTAAATATCTTCTCATCGTATTTCTTTTCGAAACTAAAAGAAAAATTTGGAATGAACTTTCTTAACACCCTTTATGAGTATTATTAGATTTACACTTGCTGAAACAGCCCAGTTTCTCTCAGTTACAAGAATTATAAGGAGCTGTTCAAATAAAGACTTTATTTTACATATGATACCATTTTTCATTTCTGAACAATTTTGTTCTACGTACGTGTCTGTATTCCGTACTCTGTATATGTTGCTTTACTTGTATTTGCTTTATTTACATTTCTTTAATTTGTAAGTTGGGACAAGTGCCAGGGATTGACATTAACGGTTGTCCGATTGCCCGGGACAAGTAAATCATCAGTTCGGGCAAGTGAAATCATCGATGTACCTGTCCGATCGGGCAAGTGGATATTTCTGATAGAAACGTTTTTTTTAATCTTACATTAGTTTATAAACAAAACAATGAATTGAACAGTTGATTTCCGCCAAAAACGTGACATTATTTTTGCATTCGGAATCCCTCGGTAACGTTTCTGGATCATACCTTTATTTAGAAATCGGGTTCGTTATTCTGTTTTCTTTCGTTCACTCTCTGCCTGACAACTTATTATGAACTTACGATACATTCTTACGAAATATATATAATAGAATAGTTTATTTAATCACTTACAGAATATATAGAACACCAGTTGTTCTCGGTAATGATGTATCTTGATTCAAAACATGATAAAAGAAAAGGAAATATCGTTAGTGCATTGCTGTACGTGTGTTTACAGGATAGTAAATTACAGGAAAGTTGTTTGCAGTTAAGTTTAAAATAGAAATTAGTTTGTTAACTCTGTAATATTTACAGTATCAAATTAAGATACAGTAACTGATATTTTCTTCTTTAAAATTTTTGGGCAACCAAGTTTTGCGTTCGGGCAAGTCAAAATTGTAGTTCACTTGCCCGAAGGACAAGTGAATATAAAACTTAATGTCAATCCCTGAGTGCATGCATACTGGCCATGCAATCTATTTAATTTTATTTTTTTTTCCATTTCTGAATTACTGTAGGCAGAAGAATAAATTGATGGTTTGCATATTTCCCCTCATTGTATCATTTTTGACATCCAGATATATTTTACCAATTCCAACGAAGTGTCTATGCATTTTTTTCATGCTTGCCCATTGATATGCGAAATCGTCCAAAACATTTGTAATATTAGTTACATTTTGACGCCAGTTGAAAGATCGGGGTTTCATATTAACATATAGTATAACAATATGATATAAGTATTATATGGAGATAATGATCATTCTGTGTATATTTCTATTTGTTGCATGAACATTTTTATTAGGTGATCGATGTAAAAGTAAACATATTTGCGCTAAATATTTTGATAAAACTAAGAAAAAGCAGATTTTTGAATACCTTGATCCGCCGATAGTCTTGTTCGACCTTGCTAATTATGGACACGCCCCCATCATAAATAAGGATTTGACTTACTTTTTACTCTCGGTACTTTCGTTTTTGTCTCCTGATTCCACGGAATATTTCTCCATGTGATCTGCAGACGACAACAAGGGTTGCTTCTCTTCTTTTTCTGACATCTCAGCAGTACAGATTTTCTCGTTTCTTCATCAATTTTGTCAAAATAACTATAGAAATTCCTTAATAAACACTTCGTAGGTTAACCGTATAAAGACATGCTGATTAAAAACAAGTAAATGATATCATTGTAAATAAAGTAGTAGAAAATGAAATGATGTCATCGCTTAAGGCAATTGCACAACGGTTCACCTATGAACTGATTACATTTGAGTCTGGTCAATAACCAGTACTCTCACTCAGTACTTGATAAAGATAACTGCATAATTTTAAAGTGCATGTCGATTCCCTAGATCTATAAATATAGCTATGACCGAAGCAAGTTCAAGTTAGTCATACCGGTGCTGCAGTGCTATTCACTCAAAGGTCTGTTTGAATCATGAAAGGAGTCCATACATCTTGTTGATAAAAAGTGGGAAAATAAATACACTCAACATTTCAATATTCTAAATAAACTTTAATACTCCACATATATTTTTACGTTGAAGGGTTGCAATGTTTAGAGTAATCATATAGGTGCTTGTTTGTGTAATCCACATTTTATGTGTTTAATCAAATACATGCAATCATAAGATTATGGAGAAAAAAATGATTTAATGGGTATTTAGAGGAACATGTTCACCGAGTGATAATTAATTGATAAAAGCTTTATCTGAATTCGAATTGAAGTTCACTATATTTTCTTCACTTGTAAAAGTTTATCAAACATTTTGCAATATAAGAATAAAAGAAGAGGTCTGTTTATAAAGTAAAAATCAAGTGCCTAACGTAGCTCGAACATTTTGATAGAATAACTAGACTACATAGATGTTGATGAGGATCTCAAGTATTTGTTTCAAATCAACAACAAAAGAACAAGTTGACGAACCATCACAGATAAAGTTTATTGAGATAACGACCGTACTCAAGTTTAGAAAGCCATCAAACAATACAAATCGTGGAGCAGTTCATGCACAAACTGAGGTGGGATCGGATGCCATAGAGGAGTAAGCATCTCATCCCGCCCTGTTCTTGTCATGGTCGGTAATAACCTAAAAATCCGTCGAAAAATAGGTTATATTTTCTAAGACTGCTCAGCAAGATTACCATTAACGCCTAATAAAATATTCTAATAGAATTCTCGAAAAGATTTACTGTATCAGCACACGAACACAAAAACACTAGGAACAGTCTTTCCCTATGGTTGTAATGACAAAGTCGATAGTGTTGAAAATATTCCAGTCCACAGTATAACAATGTAAATGTATATTTGGGAGATTGTTAAAAAAGCAAATGACTATAATGTCAAAAAGCTCGAAATTCAATTTTTGTGGGTAGTGTTAAATTCATTTGTTTTGATGTTAATAATTTGATTTCAAATTGGTAGAATGTTGTGAATTCTAAGGCAAACAAGACAGCTATCAAAGATGTATAACTGTATAGTACATTCCTAACCAGTCCTGCGCAAATTGTCGTTACATGTATTTCTTAGGATATAAAGATTTACCAGAAGAAGGATATGGAAAAAAAGAACAGTATTCAGTTTCAAAGTCCACAAAACAATACAAAACAGGAGCAGAACAAACACGGACCTCCGAAACATCAGAGATGGAATCAGGTACCATGGAGGAGTGAGCATCCCCTGCTGACCGGTCACACCCGCCGTCTGCTCCTTGTCATGATCAGGAAATAACGGAATAATCCGTCGTCAATTCAGTGTATAAATAATGGACTAACAATTAATATGAAAACGTCAGTCAGCATTTGACTCAAAGATAAATTGTATTTGCTGACAAGGTCATTGTATCGACCACAGAACTTACGAAATGATGACTTTAAACGAGACAGTTGATATTCTTGTTTCATCAACTTGCTTGTCAATAATTTATCTCGTTTTAGAAATTGTTCATACGTAGAGCATGCTATTGCATATCGAATCAACTGAGATATATGCACTCCGTATGAAGGTGATGAAGGAATGTTCCTGCATAAGTAAGGGACGTTGACGATAGAAAAGTTTAAGTCATCACGTTTATCATATAGTTTGGATGTTAGGTTACTATTAACGTCTTTTTCAAGTAAAATATCCAAGTATGAAACAGATGTGTCAGACTCTGTCGTGTCTTTAATCTCAAGCTCTTCTGGATATATCATATCGACGTAGGAATGAAAATTACCATTGTTAATTGACAATACGTCATCGATATATCTGAAACTTAGACATTGAATGCAAGAATTAGCTTGTGATATCATGGATATGTTGAATAAATAATTACTCGTAAAATGATGTTTTCTTATAAATTTATAGGTTCCCTATCAACCTTTAATGATTTTATTTTTAAAATGACTTAAAAAATAAGATAATATTTTTATTTACATATGAGACAGCAACAATTAACTTAAAATGTCATAAAATATATTTTAAAAAATAAAAATTTCTAAGAATTCTTGTTGAGGTTATTTGAGTTAAATTTTGTGCATTTGGACCTAAACAAAACATTCAGTTTAAAAGATTATATTAATTTTGAGCAGAATTTCTTCAAAATTTTATGCCAAAAAACAGCATCAGAGTCAGGTACAGAGTCAGCATTAAACTCAATGATTTTGCAAATGACCAATGATAAGATAAGTAAATTAACGAGTTCCATTTTTATTGAAAAAAAAAAAACAGCTGTCATTGATATCGAAAAGCCTGCACTTGTCGTGTGGAATGGTTATGTATAAAATATGTTCTTCGCCCTATAACTATAGTCCTGCTGAACACGTTATCACAGGTGACGTAATTATAGTTAATAAGGAGGACCTTAGATCACTTATTTTTAAAAGGTCCTTATTATAGGGAACATTGATCCTTCAACGAAGGATATGGAGATAACGAACAGTATTCAATATCAAAGTACATCAAACAATACAAAATAGAAACAGAGCAACACGGAACTCCAAAACACCAGAGGTGGGATCAGGTGCCATGGAGGAGTGAGCATACCCGCCATGAGCTCCTTATCATTATCAGGAAATAACGGAATAATCAATCGTGAATTCAGTATATAATTAATGGACTAACAATTAATATGAAAAACGTCAGTCAGCATTTGACTCAATGATAAACTGTATTTATTGACAAGGTCATTGTATCGACTATAGAACTTACGAAATGATGACTTTAAACGAGACTGTCGATATTCTTGTTTCATCAACTTGTGTGACAATTTGTGAATTGTAATTTAACTAATTTTAGAAATTCTTCTTACGTAGAGCATGCCTTTGCGTATCGAATCAACTGAGCAGTTGATGAAGGTATATTGCTGCATAAATAAGGGAAGTTGGTGATAGAAAAGCTAAAGTCATAATGTTTATCATAGAGCCTGGTTTTTAGATAACCATTTACGTCTTTTTCAAGTAAAATATCCAAGTATGAAAAAGATGTGTCAGAATCTGTGGTATCTTTTATCTCAAAATCTCCAGGATCGTATCGACATAGGACATAGGAATGGAAATTACCATTGTTAATTTACAATACGTCGTCGATATCTCTAAATATTGACTTGAAGGCCACAATAAGTGTTTTCTTCATTAGTTAATCATTGCGTTTAATATCTAAGTTCTGGCAATTTTTTCAATTCAAAGAAATACACCTTTACATGTACTGATAACTATCGCAGGACTGGGTAAGAATGAACTTCACAGTTATACACCTTTGTAGGATTCTTATTTACCTAGTAAAGACATCACCTGCTAATCCTGTATGATTTAATGATAAAATGATTTCAACAAATATTGACTTTCTAAATCTGATCTTTTATTCTTGACAAAGCTGAGTCAGAATTAAACACTAACAGAATCTGGATGCGTCATGCTAATTTGTTCTCAAAGTTTAAATTCTTCTCTTTGAATTCCTGCAAAATAAAAAATTAATTCTACAAAATGGTAAAATATTTTAGTTAATTAATTGCCTGACCAAAACAAGGTCAATGAAACATGGAAAATATGGGACAGTGAACAATATTCAACGATCATTCAAAATATACAACCAAGTAGCATCGCAAACAAGAACCACTAAAACATCAGAGGTGGATCAAGTGCCAAGGAGAAGTAAGCATTCCTTTCCAACCGATGTTGCAAAATATTTGGTCCGCCTCGTTTAAACGTATGGGGAACCTAAAGCGATAACAGATCAAGACCGCCTTTTCTATGAATAGGTTTGATTCCTTTAAAAAATATCAGCCTAGTGCAAAATGTTTTGACATAAACACCTAAACTTTAGATAGTTGATCTTCTACGCAAACTTTCTGATGTACACACAAGTACTCTGAAGTTGACATCAAAAGGATGCTTGAGTTTCTGATTGACAACATCTATTTTATTTTTGGAGAAAAGGTCTTCCAACAATCTATTGAATTCCAAATTTCATTTGGGCCCCAAATGCATCCCCCTTATAAGCAGACCTATTTTTGTATTCATATGAAGCAGAATTTGATCAAAATCTGATAGATGAAAAAAGGAAACACTTTTTGTAGCCGTCAACTCGACATTAAGATATATCGACAACGTATTTTCAATAAACAATGGTAATTTCTATTCTTTGTATCGACACGATATATCCCGGTAAGCTTTTAAAAAGATGCCACAGATTCTGACACAAATGTTTTCTATTTTGATATTTTGCTTGGAAATAGACTTCAATGGTAATCTAACAACCAAGCTCTCTGATAAACGTGATGACTTTAACTTTTCAATGACTAGTATCAACTTTGCTTACTAACGCAGCAACATACTTTCATCGCCTGCATACGGAGTTTATATATCTCAGTTGATTCAATAAGCAAGGGTATTGCTTCACTGTGGGCATCACCGGTCGGCTGGGGATGCCCACTCCTCCACGGCACCTGATCCAACATGCGATGTTTTGGAGATATGTGTTTGTTCTGCTATTATTTTTTATTGTTTTTGTATGGAATTATGATTTTGAAAACTGTTCGTTATCTCCATATGTTTCATTGTACGATATACAAATATTTTGTGCAGTCTTTTATTTCTAGTTCACCGAGATTTTTCGAATAGACATATAAATAGTAGTAACTATTGTTAATAGATAATACTTCGTTGATAAATCTTAATGTGAAGCCTAAGCAAGGTTTTTGTGGCATGTAAAAATCTTTTAATCTTAAAAAAATATTAGATCTACTAATAATGGGATGTTCTTGGTTTTCATTGGAAATTCTTGGTTTTCATTGGAAATTCAACAGAAATTTGGCAGATCACTACAAAGATATTGACAGTCAGATCTGTGTTTGCTCTGCTCCTATTTCTTATTGTTTCATGGATTTCTGATTTTGAATACTGTTTGTATCTCCATATGCATATATTTCATTCTTTCTTCTTTCAAGTTTTAGTTTTAAAAAAGTTCATTTATGATTTTGAAAACTAATTATTGGTCACTAGTCCGAATTTCTTACAGCGAAATAATCTCAGGCATTAGAACATACATGTATAAGTTATGAACGTTGGTAATCTGGACTGTACCTGCAACCTTTCAGTTGATCAGTTATTTACACGATCCTTGTTATCACTTGTTTATACCTGTGTAACCTTTGATAATTACTCAGTTGATCTCTAAGCGCGCTGACCCTTCATTAAAGCAAATTAATCAACATGGGACATTTGTACTTCTCTCTGATTTTATTCTTCCTGACTGGGGGTATGTGAATCTAACTGTTTTGTTGTAAATTGTTTTTATAATGCTGATTACCTTGTTGCTTTTGATTTAAATATTGTTTACTATAATATTTTGTTTGACATGTGACTTTAGATATATCTATCTGAAAAGATAGGAGCAGAAAAATTAAGTTTTCTCAGTCATATTTACTTTTCAAGAGAATACAAAGTTAGTAGAAAACATGTACTTGCACGATAGATAAACATGAAATTCCAAATAAATATCTAAACAGAAATTTTCGAAGCAAAATCATTTTTTATCAAAATATGCTGTTACTTTTTTTATTCTTTCTTCATTTGTCATAGAAAAATGAATCTCGAGTATCGTTCTGAACAACTAAATAAACCTTTAGTCTGGCATCAAAAAGAAATTCTCATCTAGGAAAAGACCTCTTTCTAGGAGTTTGATTTTGATTCAATCAAGATTTTTCTGTTATAAATATTTGTATATTGTGTTAAATGATTTAAATTTCATCCCTTTGGAATCTGTTCAAGATCCTGGTTATTTGTCAATATGGGACGGTAACTTTGAATTGGGTGTCTATGATATGACCTCATAAGGTTGAGGAAATGCTCTCAAACTTTACTTTTACCGTATGGCAGTCGATTTGAATACCATTAGCTTCGAAAAGTATTTGGCTGACTGATTTAAAACTAAGACATTATGTAGTACTACTGTTAATATGACTTAAAGATTTCTTGGTATCTAATGACCATGACCTGGACATTTTGATATTTATCAATCAACCCATCCCTGTGATACTTTACGAAGAGTTGCAAAGTGACAAGTTAATTGATATTCTGAATGCTTGGAAATTTATTACAAGAAATTATGTACCCTGCAGTGACCGTACTTACTTTAAGAGGCATACATCCATGTCATCTGTTACAAATCATTTTATAATAAGTCATTGATCTTGCTTCTGTCGTATTTTTTATCTTTTGGCATAAACCATACACAATTTTATCTATTTTATGACAAACAATTAACCATGCTAATGGGTTCTTCTTTTTAGGTCTTTGTATGGACGCTTCAGACTGCCCTCGTCATTTAAGTAAAAGCGACCTCTATGTTTACGGTGACTATTGCTTAAAAGTTCACTATGGTGACTATGACTGGGAAACTGCCAGAAAACTGTGCCTCAATGAGGGAGCTGATCTTGTACAACCAAGAACATCCGGTATACAGGAATATATCCGGGTCAGCTTACTGCCCCAGAAACAGAGATCCGAGGAAGACGGATTCTGGATTGGTGCGACGGATTTAAATTCTGAATCCCATTGGAGATGGGTGTCAGGTAACAACAAAAAATTCTCTAGTTGTCATTCTTCTCTTTTGATAATGTGGTTAACCAGAATCTGGATTCTCTTCAGGTGACCCCCGAATGCCGTACAGTAACTGGGAGTCAGGGCAAGGACCCTCTCAGTCTGGATTTCTGTTTGCCGCTGGAGATCTGGAGGACTGTGCATTAATGAAAATCCAGGACGGATTCCGTTGGCATGACTACCCATGTTCTAATTTCTTTTATCATTACTCATTTATATGCCAACACAGTAAGTAACTTCAACAATCATAGGGATTTAGTCATGATTAAATATAATTCTTAAATTTCTTAATTTGGCATGACTTGAATCATTTCATTAAAGAAAAGATCCCACGCTCAACACAGGCTGCGCATTTCAATCACACTCACCCAAAGACTTCCAAGTATGTACCACCAACCACGACGAAATACGTCCCACCTACAACGACAAAATACGTTCCACCTACCACAACAAAATACGTTCCTCCAACAACGACGAAATACGTTCCACCTACCACAACCAAATACGTTCCCCCAACTACAACAAAATACGTTCCTCCAACAACGACGAGATACGTTCCACCTACCACAACCAAATACGTTCCCCCGACCACAACCAAATACGTTCCCCCGACCACAACCAAATACGTTCCCCCGACTACAACAAAATTTGAGCCAGAAACTTTTACGACGACGAGGTTTGTTCCTTGGACGGAGAAAACAACAATGCTTAGTGAGAAGACAAGATCATCAACAGCTCAGATGATGACAGACACACCATTACCTTCCACAACAATGAACAAAAATACCCCTCTCCCATCCACTACGCCGGAAGAGCCATCAAAGTCGCCCTCCGCCCCTATTGGTCCTGGTGGTGATCCTTTCAGTGGGGGATTTGCATCTAGTGAGTTGAATTAAAATGAAATAGGTTTTTAATTAATCACGTTTGATATCTACAACATAAATGCAATTACTTGAAAATAAATTTTGTATTTGTATTTCAGCCAGAAAACCACCCCCTTCTACCACAGAGGAGAAATCAGGAGTACTCATCATTGGATAAGATTTAGTGTTAATTGAGTTAACAATCTGAACCAAAATGCCTGAAAGATATTGTACCTTGTAGAGATTAATAAAACAGTACTGATATTATATTATGACTTGTTTAAAGAAGAATTTCTATCACTGAGGAGAAACGAGACGTTCTCATCATTGGACATTTTCTGAGAGGTCGGCAGTGGATGCTCTCTCCTCCATGGCACCTGATACCAACTCTGATGCTTAGATGTTCGTGTATACTCTGCTCCAAACTTTGTATTGATTCATGGACTTTTGAGCTTGAATACTGTTTGTTATCTCCATGTATTTCGTTTGTATGATTATAAAACATGAAGATTACGAATTGAGATCAAATACGGTAGACAAAACGCAATAATTTTGTAATTGAGATCGATATCTTCAAAACTTTACTTTGAAAAAAAATAATGGAACTTTTATTTTTCATATTCAAACCTTGAAGCTTTCATTTACTGCAATGGACAAAAGTTCAATGAAGTACTTTTGTAAGGGTACTATTTTACTACATATGTTCTTTTTCATGAAACTATGGTTATAACGAAAAGTATTCAATATCAAAAATCCATAAACCATACAACGTAGAAGCAGAGCAAACAATGACCTCCAAAACATCGGAGGTGGGATATAAGGGACACCTTTTCTTTTTGTGCTAAAGATCTATAGTAGATGGGTCTTTGGTTCCTTTGTTACGCTTTCAAACCACCATGTACAATCAAACGATTGCAGGAATTGAGTGCAGTTTTCAGTGGGAATGACTTTTACTGATAAACAATGAACTATATTTCGTAATACTAAGATACTATTAAGTAGAGGAACATTATTGTAATCATTCCTCACGAACATGGATCAATATCTTTGCTTTTTCTTCATTTCACTGATCAAGATTGGTAAGTACATGTCGTTGATATTAAAGTGAAAAACTACTAGTAGATCTTTATGTAATTCCATCTTGAATTTAATATTTCTTAAAAATATATATCAGCAAATAAAATGAGTCATCTTGGTTCTTAACATTACATTCACAAAATTCCTGGGAAAAAAAGAACAGAACATTTTTTTCAGAATTTTAACAAGGGCAAGGTTGTCGTTAACCATTTATACGTCTTCGGTTCAAATGTAAGTGCCGTGGCTGGCTATAGAGCATGGACTTCCGGGAGTAATATTCACAATTTTGATAATTAAGGTCTTCCGTTTTCAACGGAAGACCTTCTACTGATTCTGAAGATTAAGATTATTCTTATTATTCTTTTTTTTGTTTTCTTCCTAGACGCCAACTTTGAGGCCTCATATCTCACTCAATTCTCAATGGATTTTGCTCAAATTTTCAAACATTATAGACGGTTATAAACTCTATCAGAATGCTGTCGATAATTTCAAAAAGTCACTTCCGGTTTTGAGTTATTTCCCTTTAAAAGAAAAATTATAGGCTTTCATTTCCAGACAAAAGCTCAGAGACCAGGCATTATCCTGTTATTAGCATCGCGATGCGAATAATTTTTGACGTTGTTGACGTTGTTGACGTAAATAAAATTATAATTTTGCGAGCTTAGAATTAAAAATTTAGTCTTTAAACAACAATATTTATGGATTTTATGCTTATTCCGTTAATTCCCACTCTCTGTCATCGGCTTATACATAAGTCATGTCTGACAGAGGAACGAAAGACAATTCTGCATGGGAAATTGGTTACTTCCGTGATATTTTAGAAATAACCTTATTCTCAAGTAGTACGGTATAAAAAATAATGCATTTTTGATAATTCGGAATAAATGTCTTCATAAACAAAACTATAAATTATATAACTAAAAAATTCAATATATATGTACTTTATTTTGTTATAAATGAGTTGAGATAAATATATAACGGAATAAATGTCTTCATAAACAAAACTATCAAAATTTAATATATAATCTTTATTCCGTTATATAAAAAAGTTGAGATAAATGTATTAACGGAATAAATGTCTTCATAAACAAAACTATACTGCAAAATTCAATATATGCACTTTATTCCGTTAAAAATAAGTTGACATAAATATATTACGGAATAAATGTCTTCATAAACAAGCTATCAAATATCAATATATGCACTTTATTCCGTTATAAATAAGTTGAGATAAACATTTAACGGAATAAATGTCTTCATAAACAAAACTATCAAAATTCATTATATGTACTTTATTCCGTTATGTAGAAATAAGTTGAGATAATTGATAACGGAATAAATTCCAAGGTCTTCAAAAACAAAACTTTCAAAATTCAATATACCCCGGACGGTATGCACTTTATTCCGTTTAATGTCTTCATATACGGAATAAATGCTATCTATTGCGATTACATGTAATGCACAATACATTTTAGTACTCTCATTTATTCTTTTTCTGATCATGCAATTTCATTCATAAAGTAACATATTTAAAATTTCCATATCGAATATTTTATCTCTGCACGGATTTCAAAGTACAATGTATTCCAGAACAGGTTAGGAAGTAAAAGTCCTTTGTTTGTACGTTGCGTGACAGTCTGAGTGTAAAGAAATCCCGCACCGTTCAGTAGAGGTAGAACATTGAAGAATCGCTCATCACGATCGTCTACTACACTTTTAAGAAAACTGAATGCATTGTGAAACCAAAAAAATATGTTGTAAGCGTGACAGTCTGAGTGTAAAAAAATCCCGCACGCTTCAGTAGAGGTAGAACATTGAAGAATCGCTCATCACGATCGTCTACTACACTTTTAAGAACACTGAATGCATTGTGAAACCAAGAAAATATGTTGTAATCTTCTCTCTTTGTGAGGCTTATAATCTTGATATTTGGAAACGCCGTCTCTCTGTATATACTCCTGTTATTAGCATCGCGATGCGAATTAGTTTTCGGGTATTAAAATGTTCTTCGTCTCTCTATATATACTCCTGTTATTGGCATCGCGATGCTAATTAGTTTGGAGGTATTTTATCCATTAAAACGAGTCATTTTAAGAATGATCCCCCCAAAAAAGCCAAGCCCCATTTTTTTATGATAGTATACTCCAAAGAAACCCTTTTCCCGGGAATACTTCCCTTTGTGGAGCTTATAATCTTGATATTTGGAAACGCCGTCTCTCTATATATACTCCTGTTATTAGCATCGCGATGCGAATTAGTTTTGCGGTATTTAAAATGTCACCCGTCTCTCTATATATACTCCTGTTATTGGCATCGCGATGCTAATTAGTTTGGAGGTATTTTGTTCATTAAAACGTGTCATTTTAAGAGTGATCCCCCCAAAAAAGCCAAGCCCCATTTTTTTCTGATGGTATCCCCCAAAGAAACCCTTTTCCCGGGAATACTTCCCTTTGTGGAGCTTATAATCTTGATATTTGGAAACATCGTCTCTCTATATATACTCCTGTAATTAGCATCGCGGTGCGAATTAGTTTTCGGGTATTTAAATGTCCCTCGTCTCTCTATATATACTCCTGTTATTGGCATCGCGATGCTAATTAGTTTGGAGGTATTTTGTCCATTAAAACGTGTCATTTTAAGAGTGATCCCCCCAAAAAAGCCAAGCCCCATTTTTTCTGATGGTATCCCCCAAAGAAACCCTTTTCCCGGGATTACTTCCCTCCGTGGAGCTTATAATCTTGATATTTGGAAACGTCGTCTCTCTATATATACTCCTGTTATTAGCATCGCGGTGCGAATTAGTTTCCGGGTATTTAAATGTCCCTCGTCTCTCTATATATACTCCTGTTATTGGCATCGCGATGCTAATTAGTTTGGAGGTATTTTATCCATTAAAACGTGTCATTTTAAGAGTGATCCCCCCAAAAAAGCCAAGCCCCATTTTTTCTGATGGTATCCCCCAAAGAAACCCTTTTCCCGGGAATACTTCCCTCCGTGGAGCTTATAATCTTGATATTTGGAAACGTCGTCTCTCTATATATACTCCTGTTATTAGCATCGCGGTGCGAATTAGTTTTCAGGTATTTAAATGTCCCTCGTCTCTCTATATATACTCCTGTTATTGGCATCGCGATGCTAATTAGTTTGAAGGTATTTTGTCCATTGAAACGTGTCATTTTAAGAGTGATCCCCCCCAAAAAGCCAAGCCCCATTTTTTCTGATGGTATCCCCCAAAGAAACCCTTTTCCCGGGAATACTTCCCTCTGTGGAGCTTATAATCTTGATATTTGGAAACGTAGTCTCTCTATATATACTCCTGTTATTAGCATCGCGGTGCGAATTAGTTTTCAGGTATTTAAATGTCCATCGTCTCTCTATATATACTCCTGTTATTGGCATCGCGATGCTAATTAGTTTGGAGGTATTTTGTCCATTAAAACGTGTCATTTTAAGAGTGATCCCCCCAAAAAAGCCAAGCCCCATTTTTTCTGATGGTATCCCCCAAAGAAACCCTTTTCCCGGGAATACTTCCCTCTGTGGAGCTTATAATCTTGATATTTGGAAACGTCGTCTCTCTATATATACTCCTGTTATTAGCATCGCGGTGCGAATTAGTTTTCAGGTATGTAAATGTCCCTCGTCTCTCTATATATACTCCTGTTATTGGCATCGCGATGCTAATTAGTTTGAAGGTATTTTGTCCATTAAAACGTGTCATTTTAAGAGTGATCCCCCCAAAAAAGCCAAGCCCCATTTTTTCTGATGGTATCCCCCAAAGAAACCCTTTTCCCGGGATTACTTCCCTCTGTGGAGCTTAAAATCTTGATATTTGGAAACGTCGTCTCTCTATATATACTCCTGTTATTAGCATCGCGGTGCGAATTAGTTTTCAGGTATTTAAATTATTTTTTTCCTCTAAATTTTACTTCAAACAATTTAAAATCATTAAATGTTGAAATATTAAGTCATTTAACGCTTCTGACGTTACGTAAAATAACGTCAAAAATTATTAGCATCGCGATGCTAATAACAGGATAATGCCAGAGACCACTTGAGCTGGAGCAGAAATTTTACTGGTTTTAGATAACAGAAGGATTGAAGTTGTGCACATCAGTTTTTGTTTTTCGATTTCTCTATTCAAAATGGCGCTATACAGGGGTCAAAAAATAGAACGCCTAAAAGAGAGAAAATTTACACGTTTTCCTTTTTATCTTGAAAACTAAAAATATTTTGTTAAGACATGTTGAACAAAAGTTGTGCATAATTGCAAGGGCTTTCATATCATACTATTCAAAAGGGGCCGGCCCCTATGATTAGGGATTTAGGGAGCTTGAAAGTTTTTGCTTTATAACTCAAAAACGGTAAATATTTCGATCTGGATTATACGAACAAAATTGTTTTTGACACCTTTTTAATCTGATGAAAATGTTTTGTGTTCGGTTATACCGGGGGTATTGCGTAATACGTAGTTGAAAGCAGGCCACGTAAACAGGTAGCGTTTTTCATTCGGAAAGGAAATCAGACCTCTTCATGTGTATAATTTACACAAACTTCCTATCAGTAATAAACCCTATGGTATTTAATGTTAATTTTCTTCTAAATAGAGCTTTATACGTGCTTTACGGTTCACTATTAAATTATTTATAACGATTAGTCTTTCTTTTATTTGTTATTAATTAGTTTTATAGTGAACACGTCTTCATAAACGGAACATATTAAATCTATCTTTCTACATTGATTATTATAACAATTATAAGTTATTTTATTTTTATGCATCGAATAATTCACGATCATTAGTTGTATACATTTGGCGATCTCCAAGATCGCCTAGATGTTTGTAACAGTTATGTAATCCAACACCCGAATCCCACGCTGTCGATCGAGGTCACTAGTGTACCAGCCACCTGTCGTAAACAATGCAAGTGTCTGTGATCGTGTTTAAAATCCATTGTGTACAAAGACCTATCAATTTGTAGAAAATCATGTTTTTAATTTATCGAATCATTTGGTTGTATAATGATTACAATGTATATAAACGTCCATCTGGTCAGTCATTGTTGCTTGACGACGTCTTGTTTTCTTCTCTCACATTGGTAGCGCGTATGAACAGAGATATGAACACAAGCTTGTAAACAAAATAAACGGCAATTCACAAAAAAGGAAAACCAGAAGAAAAAAGTGTCTGTGTAGATGAAAAACACAACTCATTAATTTGTTTTTGAACGACCCCATACGTTTTTTTCTTTCTCCCACACTATGCATTTCGACTATACGGGAAAAAGATCACTAGAACCTTTGGTTATATTAAAAGAAAGGTGTTGGACCTTCAAACGGCACTATATCCGAACAGCTATTATACAGCCTATCAAATATATCACGGCGTCAATAAAAGAATTATTTAGATATTTCAAAAAATACTAATTTCATTCTAAGAAAAGCCACGCAGCTGTATACAGACATTCCAAAATAATGTTTCATGGACCGACAGGTTGTTAAATTCCTCTCATCACTATAAGTACCCCATCCCTTAAAATGAATACAATGTCTTCCTTCTAAGCAGAGAATGTCAGTCGGTTGATTTGTTTTTGTACATGCATATATACATGTAGTTTAGGGGTTGAATTCCGAGACTGAAAGTTACGACCTATTTTTATGTAAACCAATAATCATACATGACATGTTATGCCCTGCCATGAATATGGCCAAGGCATTTGGTGTTTGTCGGACGTCTTCCATCCTTCCTACTTTCTGTCCTTCCGTCTCTCCTTCTGTCACACTTTGCCTTTAGCTCAGTTCAAAGCTCAGTTTCAAACAAACTATCCAAGATATTTTTATCAATCTTTATATACTGATAGAAATTAATTAGAGTTATGCAATTGCATTAACATTTTTTTTTAAACTTGACATTATATACATGTACATGTATATACCTCACTTTTCTTAAATTAGTGTTTAGCTCAGTTTTAAACATACCATTCAAAATGGTGTTATCAAACTTCACATTTTGATGCATACTGATGAGAGCTATTTAATGGCATCACCATTTTTGAACTTGGCCTTTCTTTTGACCTTGACCTAACTCTTTTTATCTCAATTTCAGCTCTAGAGTTAGTTATTGCTTAGCACAAGGTCATTTAGAAAGATCAAGGTCACACGTACTAGTATTCCTTTACAGTCTTTTTCCTAGCGAAACATTGTAAGTTGCTTCTCTTACTCTTTTTACTTGTACATGCATATCTTTAGTATTTGGCTTTTGACCTCGACTCAAGGTTACGTCTTCTAGTCCGTAGCTCCAACGGAAGACCTATTCGTTGCTTTGCAACGAGCTAGGCTCTAGTTGTTTTTTAAAATGTCTTATCAGTAATTTTTTTTTCCCGATAATGGTAGATTTTTGTCTTTAGTCTGGTATTCCTTTTCAATAACAAGCAGCAGTCAAAGATCCCAGTTTAGGATAGGAAGAGACAAATTATTGTCAAGTGATTATTGAATAAAAATTTTCTTGAAGTTCATAGTTTGCCCGCTGACAACTGTCCGTCACATCTGGGTAAAAGCGACCTGTATACATACGGAGATTTCTGTCTGAAGGTGCATTATGGGAACTACGACTGGGATGACGCAAGACACAAATGTCGTCAAGAGGGCGGAGACTTAGTTCAGATCCGGGATTCTGGGATGCAGCATTTTCTCCAAAGAGTTTTATCAGGTCAAAGGTCAGAGGAGGACGGGTTCTGGATTGGGGCCAGCGACAGGGACTCAGAATCACATTGGAAATGGGTCTCAGGTGAGCTATAGATACTCAAGGGTGTAATATAGGGCCACATACTTATCATTACTGGCTTTTGAATCAAACTAAATAAAATTTGTCCCAATAATCCATGTATTATCTTCACTTGAGTTTTACTGAAAGGTATAGCAACAAGGACATAAAATTTTATTTTAATTTCATTTTGAAACATAATTTGCATTTAGCAGTGCCACAAGTGCCAAACGCAGTTTTAGCGATTACATATTTCCTCATTTGTATAAAATATTTGGCAGGTGATCCTAGAATGAGTTACAGTAATTGGGAGCCTGGACAGGGGCCATCTCAAAGTGGCTTTTTCCTTGCCAGTGGAACTATCGAAGACTGTGCTCTAATGAGAGTAGACAGTGGATTTAGATGGCATGATTATGACTGTAGCAGTATATTCTACCATTATTCATTCATCTGTCAATACAGTAAGGAAAGTTTTTTTAAATGTCCCATTTTTGAGAAAAAAAAATTACTATTTTTTCCACTGTTAATGCTTTTTCATCAAAGTAAAATTAACTATTCTTTTTTATACTTCATATGGCCCTAAATTTCAATGAAAATAATGTCCATTCTCTAGGCAAACTGAATCATACTTCACCAGGAAACCATCACACCGATAGAACAACAATTAAACCACAAGGATCTACCACAGAATTTATAAACCCAACTCCTCCCGACACCACTCCCTTCAAACCCGACACCACAATATACTCGACACCACCGAAGACTGATGCTTCGATAGACACCACCCCACCCCCAACAGACGCTCTAGTGCCCACAACACCCCCAGAAACAGACGCTCCTCTCCCTACCTCGGACATGTTGACGCAAGCCCCGTTCCCTTCCACCTTGTCGCCGAAGACAACGCCTCCACCTAGTGAGTAGACTTGTCAGAGCATTAAGTTTTGATCGAACAGTTTCGTGTGTCTCACGTCCCAGCTGCTATAATTAACAACTAAATGTGTAGATAACCTTTTTCTTCCGAACTAGAAGTAATCTATACAAAGAATTAATCACTTTCACTCGTAAACTTCTGAATAACATTTATTTCTATTTTTAGCAACCACAGTTTTAACAACTACCACGGACAAAGGGGGAGTGGTTATCATTGGCTGAACATCCAGTGATGTGTTCGAGAAGATTTTATGAGGAAATAATGTTTGAAATATACTGAAAATAAATTCTTATTAGAGACACGGCAAAATTCACATTGCTTGATCGGATGAAATAAATTGCACATCGAAGTTTTTTTTAATGGAAGAAGAGAAGGATATGTATAAGTATTTCCCTACACTAATCCTTCTTTATCTGAATACTTTTTATATAAGTAGATTTCATTGTACGGAAGTGTTTCAAGACAATTAATTATGATAATCTTGCATATCACATCAACTTGATGTACTTGATGAAGTGTTTCTGATTTTTTTCTCTCTGTGAGAGAGTAACTAACAAGGACAGACTTAACAGAAACATTGTTGGCTAAAACACTCGGTAAGGTATCCGACAACTTTGAGAACCCTCTCAACACTGCACACTCGAGTCTTGAATCTATGGTATCGGTCATCACTACACTACAGTATTTTTCTGCAGCTATAGAGTGGTCTGCCTTTAAATCTAAATTCCTATAACGCATATCACCCAATTTGTAATCAGTTCTAGTATTCTTATCATTTTAAGAGACCAAGATAAATTAATTGAACAAATCATTAACATTTCTTTAACCTTTAATCATATAATTTTTTTCAATGTCCAAAAAACATTTTTTACTGGTGTAGAGAGAATTCTTATTTAAGCTTCAGTGAAATTGAATGCATATCATTGAACATGCCCTGATTTATGACGATGTCTTGTTCCTAAAGAGCTAGCATCCCCTTTGGCTTTTTATCAATAATTTTTTTTATACAAGTTCTATATTTCATGGAAATAGCGAATTAAACAATACAAAGGGACGTGAGATAACGAATTAAACAATACAAAGGGATGTGTGTTTAGTCATGATCGGAAAATAACGAAAAACTCCGTCGATGTGTAAATAATGTTCTTAGTAGTATAAAGCGCCTGGTTGGGTGGGTCAACTGAGTGCACTTTTGGGGTTGGGGGGATAGGTGGGTCAACTGAGTGCAGCCCCTGGGGGGATAGGTGGGTCAACTGAGTGCAGCCCCTGGAGGGGATAGGTGGGTCAAGGGAGTGCAGCCCCTGGAGGGGATAGCCAGTTCAATTCAGTACATATAATCCCCCCTAAATACGGGGGTGTGTTTACACTGTGTTTACATTATACACTATACGCTGCTGCTACTACCATTCATAACGCTGCTACTACGATTTTGGCAAATACTCAAGAATTTGATTATGACGTCACTCATTCACAGTGATTTTCCGAAAACTGAAAAAAAAAAACAATAACACACAATAGAAACAAGAACACAGATTTTATTCAAGTAAAAAAAATACAACAATTTACTTTTTCTTCTTCTGGGCCTTATCGGTCATCAGGGATAGTTTCCTCTTGTGAGTAGTGCTGGGTCCTGGATTTTCTCTGTTGTGTTCCTTTTTCTCTTTTTTTTCTCCTTCTTTCACTGGAGGTTTGGTCTGGTGGGTCCCTGAGATCTTGGGTTCCTGAGGCTTTTTCTCCAGTTTTTGTACTTCTTTG